GACTTTGCACTAACCAGGTGCATGTCGCCCAGCAGAGCTCCAAGAAGCGAGCTTTTGCCAGACGCGACAGGACCGACTACGCAGACGAGGCTCTTCTTTTTCACCCTGAAAGAGTCAATGTAGAGCCTCTGCAATTTCTCAGCTGGTGTTTTCTCCTCCTCGTCAACGCCGTCATTTGCCATGAGTTGTTTGTCGTCGTGATATGCAAAGGTGGCATCTTCGACTTGGACAACAATCTCGTCGGGCGCTTGTCGTCCCTTTTCCTGCAATTCCCCTCGCAGTGCTGCATCCCTTGCCATGTGATCGTCAGAAGAAACCATAAACACAGCAAGACGCTCAAGCGCGGCCCGAGCGTCTGCGACAGATGAAATGGCAATGGGCAAAGCTCCCATCGGCTGCCGCAGCAGCAAAAAAAATGCCAATGCGGAAAAGACAACATCTGCCCGCATCCCATTGCCGCTCGTCGCGCCGTAGCACACGATGCTGACCACGGCGGCGAGGGTGGGCGCGGTGAAGGAGACGGCGATGTTGAGCGCGCGCAGTAACATGCGTTTGCGAATGTACACAACCTCGTCCTTCCTAAGATGTCCAATCTTTTCCAAGAGACTCTCCTCATATGCATTGGTTTTGACGAGGCGGATGGTGGAGACAGCCTCGACCACGGCTTTGACCCGTGCATCTGTGAACGGCATGCTGTTGCGACGCAGAGCCAAAAGGGTCTTCATCATGAACGACTGTAGAGGGTACAGCAGTGCTAGCAGGCCAAAGCCAGGCAAGGCACTGTATCCCATCGACCATATCGTGAGTGCAAGGCAGAGGATGATCTGGCATATGCTTGTCCATCCAGAGTGGAAGTACGCACAGCAAAAGTCCACGCGCGTCACGTCGGCGCTCATGAGGCTCATAAGCTTGCCCGTGCCCAGACCTTGCGTCAACTTTGCGCGCTCGGTCAACTTGGTCGTTGCCCTGCGGTAGATGACGTGCATCAGCGCTGCTCGTAGCAGGACACCCGTCGTGTAGGACCGGTAGAAGCCATGTACGTTGCTGGTGACGGAAAAGGCCAGCAGCGCAAAGAGACCCACGGCGTAGCCAAACCCTGCCCGGTAGGCCTGCTGGGATGGATCAGAAAGCGTGTTGATGAGGAAGCGGATGAGCAAGGGCGAGATGATCTGAGTCAGATCACCTAGTAGCTTGAGTATTCCACCCAGCCAAAACCACTGAAAGGTCACATCGTTGAGTGCCAGGGCGAGGACTGTGCTTTCGGTGGTGTGTCTGGCCCAGAAGGGTCTCCAAGAGAACAAGCCCAACTTGGGCTTCCTCTGTCGATTGTCATCCAACCTTGAAGTCCACGCCTTCTCCAGCCGGTCGGCGTGGTCGATCACCAACCTGTTGTTGGGGAGGTCATAGAGGTCGTCGGCCTGCAGAGGCCTGCTGTAGCCCGTTCGGATAAGGGTTCTGAGCCAGTCGAAGGTGATGAGGGAAAGCAGGTTGGCTCGCGCTTCTGGTGTGACGGTCTCATAAGTCTGAGATTCATTGCCTCGCGCAGCTTCAGCATGGCTTGGAGTTGGTGTTTTCCGACTCAGATGTCGTTCAGTGAGCTTCGTCTCGATGGGTTTCTGCGATAGGAAAGGAACCCTTCTGTACCACTTCCTAGGGGGGAATGTCTTCCCGTCAGCGCTGGCCATGGTGTCGCTGGCATCGATGTCCTATCGCACCCTCTGGGATTGTCCAGTCGACGACTTTGGTCGCCTGCACGTTGTGCCACTGCCGCGGTCAAAAGAGGTGCCAGTCCTGTGGAGACCGGCAATTGGAGAGCATTGACACTCAGCTCACTTTTGGGAGGAGACGCCGATCACGGCCTTGCGATGATGGCGAATCTTTGCGTGCACAAGCTTGCGTTATTAGCTGTGGCACCATGATCACGGCGGATCACCCCTGTCCAGGGCGACGAGTCGACGACCCTATTCTGTGAATGTGTCCACACAGTGTGGTATTCATCTGCATGATCGACGCTATTTGCTCTGTCGAATAAAGTTGAGCCGAGGGTTGGAACCTGAACCTGCGGAGCCGGCGCTAAGGTTGACAGAGAGCGGCATGGACACTCACACCTGTCACTCCTCCAGCCGACTTTTCACAGGGAGGTGAAGGGAAAAATGTCAACGTTAGACGTGACAGTGAATGGAGAGCGCGACTTGGCCTCGGCTGGAATGAAACAAACATCATGACGAATCTGCATACCCCGGCAAGCATTGCACAAGCTGCATGTGTCCAGACGGTGGCTGCGGGTCCAGTATCGGGTCGAATTTTTATCAATCAGTCTGCCAAGGCGGGACAGATTGCGCAGTCGTCGACTCATTTCCCTCACGACGCTTGCGCCGACAAGCTGATCGGCTCTTGCATTCGCCTGTTTGGGGAAAGCTGAAGATGTCATCTCTGGCTGCTGTGCACGCATCTGCGTCTTTTTCCACGTCTCATGCCACGTACCGGCTGGGGTCGCTGGGGTCGCTAGACACACTAGTCTAAGTTGTCTAAGCCCCTTGGAGCAGAGGGTCGGTCGATGGTAGGTGGCGTCTTGTGTGTTTCGGCGCGGATCCTGCGTTGTCCAGCACATGCCAGGCTATCCATACTTGAGACGCAACAGTTGTATCCGTAGGCACACGGCAATTCTGACCGACCCGAATCTTTGTTCCCTGCCTACATGTACCTTGGATCGTGACAGTGTCCATCTACCTCAACTCATCAGTGCAAGCTTGGACTTCCAACAGAGACGAGAGTGCGTGGCCTACCCTAAAAGACTCATCCCACGACTAACAGCTTCAAGCTCCTTTCACTAAATCAACATGGGCAGCATTGTACATGAGGCACCTGTCGGGACTGAGGCACCTTTGGCAACAAAGGTCGACTTCAAGCTCCCTGACGCCAAAACGAAGCTCTGGATTGATGTCGACGCAACACATGAGACACCTGTCTACAACGTGGGCCAAGGAGAGTCAATTGTCACTCGGTGGCTCACCAGTGCTACAAAAACCAGGGTATCGCCATCAATGGTGAACGACGACAGGGCTGAATTCGATGAGCTTCTCCAATTCGAGCCTGTCGCACACGGTGCGGCGAGAATCGGTGCCAACACGGAGGATGAAGACATTGTCCTTCTATGGGCATCTGTGTACGCTCTTTGGCTTCACCCCCAACACAGAGACAAGGATTTGATTGCCATCTCGCTCGACAACGAACGCCTTGGACAGTACATGCGCTGCACTGGCTTGGGAGTGACCTCTCCCTACTCGTCGGACACCTCAACCACGACCATCACCCCCAAGGAGAACATCTTGTGGCTGCACCGAGAGGCTTTTTGGCAGGGGGCAGGCGCACCAGACTCGCAGTCGTGGCTACAATCGCGCCCTGAGATTACCCTTTTCCCTGGGTTCAATGGCACGGCAGGCAGCTTTGCCAGCCAAATGGGCTTCACTCGCAAGGGCAACGTCTGCACGGTTCACCCGGTGCGGCCACCAAAGCCTGCACCAGGCACCGTCATCTACTCGAGATTCATCGTCGAGCTTGGGCAGCAACTGCAGATCATCCACATTGATGCCAGCAACCCACTTCACTTCCAGACATATGCACGCTGGCAAAACTCGGACCGCGTCAATCTAGGATGGAAAGAGCGCGGTCCCGACGAGCATCATCGCAGGTATTTGGCATCTCAACTAGCCGATCCGCACACCATGTCGTGCGTTTTCGCCTGGGACGGCGAACTTGCCGGCTATACAGAAATTGGGTTTGCCAAGGAAGACAACGTGGCGTGCTTTGTTGGCTCCAACTGCAACATTGTCCTTGGCGAGCATGACCAGAACAGCCACATTTTGGTGGGCGAGGAGCACTTTCGCGGTGGGAAGCGGTACCAGGCAGTGAGCACATCCATCAAGCATTGCTGCTTCCTGCGGGACCCGCGCACGAAGCAGGTTGTGGCCGAGCCAAGGCATGACCTGAGCAATGTCAAGATTCAGGACCGGTTCCTGCCACAGGAAAAGAAGAGGCGCTTCCACCTGCCGCATAAGACAGCCGTGCTGTTTGCCTTGCAGCGCGATCGCTTCTTCCAGGAGGGCCACTTTGTCTAGCCATAGTAAATCGTCAGTAGTGCTGTACGGGGAATTGACTAAGAATTCATTTCGAAATGGAGCCATCGACATCATGACCGTGACACGAGCTGCGTCCGACAAAAGAGGGGTAGCGAGTCGAGGCCGCGACGATGATCTAATCAGATGCGCCATTTGATCTAATCTGATCAGATAAAATTGCTATTTGCCGTTCAATTTCAGGGAGTGGCGCGACAAGCTTCAGAGGTGGGTCGCACTGTACGCCTGCCGCACCGTGTCGGAGACAGTGTGGGCACCCCTTGAAGCTCGTTCACCCACTGACCCCAGTCTCGAGAGCGAGGCTTCATGCGATGTGGAAAATTTTTCTCGCAGCCTGACGAGCGAAATCTTATCAATCAGATCAGCGGGCATGTCCACCGTCTCCATCACCAAGGCCCCGGTTGAGCTCCTCGAAGTTCCGGTCTCTGGCACTCCGACACCATACGTAGCCCCTCAAGCCACCACCATGTGGACTTCAGAGGGAGCACCGGACCCTCTGTCTGCCCTCAAGCCTCACGATTGACGATGCGCACACCCTGCATGGTCGGAAGTCCCACCCTCATCAGTAGCAGCTCCATGCATTTGCTATGCCCATGTGCCGAGAGCGGCGCTTATTGTCTCATCCTGGCAGTCTCAGTCTGGCTATGGACATCATGAGAAATCATCCATTCCGGCACGTAGCTTGGTATTGACGGTGTCTCATCCATAATTGTGTACGCATCATCCTGTCCTAAGCAGCATACGACTCTGTTAGACACGACTCTCCGCCCTCTACTTTGACGAGCAGCAGGCTACCTGACATACCCTAACGACATTGCGTCGATGAGGTGAACTAGACACACGTCACGAAGCGCACACACGAAGATGGCAACACCATCACACCAGCCACCGGTCACGCAGTTCCGGCCGCTGCATACTTTGAATGAGGTCGATGCAAGCATAGAATCAGGTTCTTTGACATGGACCAGCCAGCTTGCAACGCGATTCGACGAGGAGGCGTTGATTACGGCCTTTGTCAAGGTCGTGGCTCATATTATCATTGTGGATGTGGGCGAAGCTTTTTGTATCCAAGACACCGCTCGTGGGGGCTTCATCCTGGCACACGCAGGGGACAATGGCCCGGATACCACGTTTTCTTTCGTGGTTTATGATGGTGACATACCGACTGACTTTTCGATCGGGCCAGGAAAGGTATGTCCCAAAACGTGTGAAGATGACCGCTGCTCATGACGATTCTAGGCTGTTCAGCTTCATGTAGTTGGCGACCAAGTACGGCTGATATCGCACCGGGGCGTCATCACAGAAGCAGGCCTCAATGCTTTGGGTCAGATGCTAGACGACGTCTTAAGCAGAGCGGAGAGCTCCGACCACGCGACTGGTGCCCCGGAATGGACACAACCCTCCATGCTCAACTTTCCACCAAAGCAAGCCCCCGAGCCACTCCTGCCTGGCGAGAGCCAGGCTGCAGGACCGGCGCTCCTACATGGGTGGTTTGAACAGAGAGCTCGCGAGTGCCCTCAAAGGGTAGCCATGGACTACCTCGTGGATCTGGAGATAGGGGAAAGGCGGCAATACACTTATCAACAATTATCGAACGCGTCAACAGCTTTGGCCGTCAAGCTTCTGGAATACAAAGCCAACTCCACGGCAGTCACCCAGACTGTAGCTGTGTCACTTGGCCCCTGCCCTGAACTGTACATCAGTTACGTGGCCGTTCTTAAAGCAGGTCTCGCCTTTTGCCCACTGCCTGTAGACGCCCCTGCAGAGAGAATCGAGGCTTTGCTGGCGGATCTAAGCCCCGTAGCAGTGTTGACAGCTGGAGGTGAAGCGATCGGGGACAGCACAACCACGCTCGAGACCACCCAGTATCTCTCCTTGTGCGATACTCAGCACACTATGCCCGACACCCATATAGCTGAAACCGATCCAGCATACATTCTGTACACATCTGGAACCACGGGTATGCCAAAGGGCGTGACGGTCGACCACCTCTCGGCGGCCTGCACGATCAGTGCCCTCAGCAATCATTTTGGATATTGTTGGACAGGCACCTCCCCAACCGCTAGGCAAGTCCGATGGTTCCAAGGCGCCACACCAACGTTCGACATTTCACTTTTCGAAATCTTCTGGACGTTGAGCACCGGGTCAACGCTGTGCTGCGCGCCTAGACACATCACCATGCAAAACATCGACAAGGTCCTGACCATTTTGGAGGCGGACATTACCAACGTTACGCCTAGTTTTGCCAGCCTCATTGATCCCTCTCTGCTGCGCGGCGTCATGGTGGGTGGTGAGACACTGAACACACGACTTTTGCAGGACTTTGCGCCGTCCAACCCCCAGTCTCAAGATACATCTACTCAACACGACTCACAAGACCACCATGTGCCGCGAGGCATCTACAATGGATATGGTCCCACAGAGGTGGCAATATATTCCATCGCTCAAGCACATGTCCCAGCCAACCAGCGTGGATCTGTCATAGGTACGCCATTGGCGACCTGCGGCGCTCTTATCGTGGATCACCACGACGCGAGCCTCGGTCCCGTCCCCATGGGTGCGGTCGGTGAGCTGGTCCTCACAGGTCCCCAGGTCAGCAGAGCGGGCTATCTCAGTCGTCCAGATGATACGGCCAAGGCTTTCGTGGACGATCCCAAATGGGGAAGAGCATATAAGACCGGCGACAGAGCCAGAGTCGTCTGGGGCCCAACAGGCGAGCGCATGATCGAGTTCCTGGGGAGGATATCAGACGACCAAGTCAAATTGAGCGGCAGACGAGTCGAACTTGGCGAGATTGAGAGCGTTCTGGCAACCAAAGTACAGGGTGTGCACCAGACACTGGCGTGTGTTTGGAAGCCACAAGATGGCGCCCCTGGGTCGGAGAGGGTTGTAAGCTTGGTCGTGCTCGACCCCAAGACCACGCTGGCTTTCGAGGAGGTGCAGGCCTTGTGTGTCGAGACTGTACAAAAGCACCTCCCAGACTATATGCGACCTTTTCGGATATTGCAGGTCGATGCACTCCCTCGATCAGCCTCTGGCAAAGTTAATCGGAAGATGGCGTCAGCATTCGTGCACAGTGAACTGCATCATGAAAGGGGGGATAATGCTCACGCAGCAGCCTTGGAGCCCTTGGAAGATCCGGGGCATGCAATGATCGAGACACAGCTTTTGAGCTTGTTGTCTGCCATTGTGAATGATGGGTCTTCTACGCAAGTGGTGTTGGCAGCCGATACTCCCTTGATACAGGCTGGCATCGACAGTCTTCGAGCGATGAGGCTTCTGAGGGATATCAGGAGGCAGTGGCCTGATGAACCACATCTGCAGCCAACACTCGCTTGTCTCCTTGAGCCTTCAGCCACCATACGGTCCACCTTCTTCGTATCTCAGGGCGATGGAGCAAACGCCCCTCGCCTTGATAAGAGAGACCAAGCGAAGACACAAATTGCTGACTTTGCATCCCGCCACACATCCGAAGCCCTCGCCAATCTAGGCATTGACAGCGAAGCAGACATTGTGGCGGTGGTGCCTGCAACGAGTACACAAAGCCAGCTCGCTGTCAGCTTTGCCATGGACAAGCGGAACTACGTCAGCCACACTGTGCTCTCACTGAAGCCAGATGTCTCTCTCTCAACGCTTGAAGAGGCTATTGATGCAGTTCTTATGCGACATGATATCTACTGCACTGTCATGATGTCGTGTGACGACCCGCTGTCGCCATTTTCTCAAGTGGTCTTGACGGATGCCGCCTGGCGAAGACGACAAGGCGATGGCAAGAGAGTTGCGTGTAGGAAGGCCAGTGATACTGAGAATATCCAGGATTGTCTGGATGCCGCCTACGATAATCTCGACTTCGAATCGCAAAGGCTCTATTATGTGCAACTTGTCGAACGTGGACCAGGATCTGAATCGCAAGTCGTGATCAGCGTGGCACATTGCATTTGCGACGGCGCTTCCCTGGAGGCACTGGTCGATGATATTGCCAGGCAATACGCAGGACTCGCGCCTCTGTCACGACTAGGCGTTCAGGACGCGGTGCTGGACTGGGTCATGGGCGTAAGCGAGACGACGGACAAAGCGTGGCAGCAATCACTGGAGGGTTGGGAGGCTGAGAGCTTCCATGCACTGAGCGGTGACAACATCAAGTCAATCGCACCAGGAGTTCAGGCAGATCATGGGCACGCAATGGTTCAAATCTCCAGCGCCTTGTCATGGCAAGACCTCGAGAGCAAGAGCAGATCCCTAGGCGCCTCACCGCTCTCCGTGCTCCAGGCAGCATGGTCGGTGCTTTTGCAGGTCTTCTCCGAAGCAAATACCGGCGACATTGTCTTTGGCAGTGTCGTCTCAGGTCACCATGAGCCTGTCCAAGCGCCAACCTTTTCCGTGGTACCCTGTCGCGTAGACTTACCCGACTCGCAGACCGTTCGTCAACTCATCAACAGTCTGAACGAGAAGTCGCGGTTCGCCCAGAGCCATCGCCATACATCATTCGGTATCTTCGAGACTCTCCCTTATAACACGGCCTTGGCGCTGCAAGCCTATAAGCCTCTAGGAAATGGACTCGCTCAAGCTCAGGAAAGCCAAAACGACATCCCATGGGCGAACATCAGCAATCCCCCCATTCGATACGACTTTGATGTCTTCGCAGAGGTGCTCCCCACAAGCCCCCTTTGGGCTGGTCAGGATCCGTCAAAAATGGCATTCAAGCTCACATACCGCGACGATTCCCTTTCTCGGAGATCCGCGCAGTGTGTCGTTGAGCAGCTGGCATCATTGACCAACATCCTACTGCAAAGCAAGCCCGACGATCCCGTTCAAGGTTTGCCCGCACGACTGCCGAGACAACTGTTGTCAGCTGAAGGTACACCGCCAGAGTCACCACAGGATGATGAGGCAAAGGCGACAAGGACTCAGCACCGCGTCGAAGTTCTCCATGCTCAGTTTGAGGACCAGGCTGCATCTACACCAAATGTGCTGGCCTTGAGCTTCTACACATCGCTTGATGCCCCCCCTTCAGAGTTGACCTATGCGGAGTTGGATGCAAGAGCCAATGGTCTCGCCAATGTCTTGCGTGAGGAAGATGTTGATGTTATCCCCATTTGCATGCAGCGGAGTGTCGAGCTCTACGTGTCCATCTTGGCCATCCTCAAAGCTGGCTCAGCTTGGTCGCCGATCGATGAGACCTCGCCCGTTCAAAGGCGCACCTCGTTGATTGCACGAACGCAGGGCAAGATCCTTTTGACAGACACTGCGTCCTACCACCTAGTCGAGCCTTGCCTTGCCCATGAGAGTCTGGCGGATGTGCGTGTGATCCTTGTGGACCAGTACAAAGACCAGAAGACAGCAACGAGGGCTCTTCCACGCCAGTCTATCCAGTCAAAACACTCACACATCGAAGGCGAGGATCTTGCGTACCTTCTATGGACGTCTGGCACCACTGGTGAACCCAAGGGCGTCATGCTCCAGCACTTTGCGGCCGCCAACGCGATGCGCGACCTTCAGGTTCAGGTTGAGCACGATAGAAAGCACGGACAGGTGAGAACTTTACAGTTGTCGGCGTACAGCTTCGATGTCTTTGTGCAAGATCTTTTCTTCACCTGGGGTCTGGCTGGCAGTGTCGTCAGCGGCTCGAGGGAGTTGGTCCTAGGCACATTCACAGAGTTCGTGAACAAGTCACAACCAACTCATGCGCATCTCACGCCATCTTTCGGTGCAAGCATAAATGTCGAGGAGATTAGGGGGTCAACTCTGCAGTATGTCACCTTTATCGGCGAGAAACTGACCGAGGACGTCGCGGAAGCATGGGCTGCGCCAGGTATCACAACCAAAGCCTATAATACCTATGGACCTGCCGAGAACGCGGTGGTCTCCACGATGAGACAATTTTTTGGCACAAGCCGCGACAGAGCTAAAGCTGCTAATGTCGGGTTTCCATTGACACCATGTACAGCGTATGTTGTCCGCGAAGTCGAGTCGCCAAATGCTCGCGACAAGAAGCAATGGGAGCTTGTGCCGCGTTACGGCGTGGGCGAGTTGGCGCTTGGGGGCGCCCAAATAGCAAAAGGGTATCTCAACAATCCAGCAAAGACCAACAAGGCTTTCATACAAGGAGGACCCGGCATTGATGAGCGCATCTACTTGACTGGCGATATGGTCCGCCTCAACGACCATGGCTTTGAGTTTCTCGGCCGCAACGACGATCTTGTCAAGATCACTGGCATCCGCATCGAGCTCAGTGAGATCAGCGCCGCCTGTGCTAGTGTCAAAGACGTTGAGCCTGCCGTTGAACACGTCGAAACATTGTATCTACCGCGTCCAGGAGCTGACGGCGCCGACGCCAACCACAAAGTCGTTGTTACTTTTATTTCCGTCAAGAAAGAGCATGTCGACTTGAGAGACCTCAGGAAGCAGGTCTTTCAGAGGGCGCGAGAGATATTGCCAACTTACATGGTGCCGGGGCACATCGTCGTGCTCGACACGACCATGCCACGGACAGCGTCCAACAAGGTTGACCGCAAGGCACTGCAGAATATCTACAACGACTCGGACCTCAACGAGTTGGCAGCAATGGATACGTCTCCGGGAGGCGGCTCTACAGAGACGGCAAATTGGGCTCCCGAGCAGCTCCCAATTATCAAGGCAATCTCTGAGAACATTGGTATACAGGTCGAGCCTCTCTCACCCGATGTCAGCTTGGCGGGCTTAGGCGTCAGCTCTTTGCAAGTGACCAAGCTGGCTTGGGCTTTGAGGCGACAACTGGAGTGCAATGTGGGTGTTCTCGGCTTGATGCGATGCCAGACTCTAGGTGATCTGGTCAATGTCATTTGCACCTGCATGGAGAAAGATCCTGGCACAAACACAGCACCAGAGTCCAAGCCGGGAGTCTCTTGGATCACTGATGTCAAAGAGAAATCCACCAGATGTCTTCACGGAGAGATGCGCCCGGCCAAAACTTCCTATATCATACCTGCCACGCCAGCACAGGAAGCCCTCATTGTCGAAACCATGGTGGAGCCTAGAGCGTACTGGTCTCATCGCCTATTTGACCTCAGCCACCTGGACGACGTTGACATTGATCGTCTGCACGCAGCCTGGACGGATGCAGCAAAGCAATTTGACATCCTTCGGACCGTTTTCGCTCCTCTGTGGAAGCTGGAAGTGAATGAAGGCAGTGCCCATCGCGTCAACAGTGGTCCTTGGGCACGTCGCCATGGCGTCCAATCCAGTATACTCCAGCTTGTACAATCTGAGCCCATTATACGGTGGACGGTCTTCAATCATTCTGACGATGAACAGGTCGCAGCGCATGCTGAGACGCTACAGACCGACTTGACCCCGTGCGGTAGCAATGCGAGCAATCCCCCATGGGCAATTACCTTTTCAAAGGCGAACAGCAGGTTGATGTTGAGCATGCACCATGCGCTACACGATGGCGCATCTTCAGATATGGTCCTTGGGAAGGTTGCAGAGCTGTATCAGAACCCTGGAAAGGCCTTGGGGGGAAACAATCCGTTGCTGCAGCTTGATAAAGGCCTGGAACTCGGTCTGCTGCCCCAGATTTCTGAACGGGATGAGGCGGTCTCTGTCTGGACCCGAAGGTTGAGTGAAGTGATCAATACTCACGGCGCCGTGAATGGCTCGTTTCCTGATCTAACGCGATCTCGGCGGAAGCAAAAAAGAGGGATTCTATCCAGCCGTGTCACCATTCCCATGGAGCTTGTCCACGAGCGACCACAGGGAATGCCTGATCTTCCGAGACTGTTACAGTCTGCGCTTGGAGTGGTGCTCGCTTCATACATGGAGTTGAAAGCCATTGTTCTCGGTCAAAACCTGACGCAGCGGATCTTGCACCCAGACCTGGCCCACGTGGTAGGCCCTGCCATGGCAACCCTGCCTATCATCGTCCGCGCAGATAGCGTATCTTCTACTGAGCTGTGGGCTGAGATGGCCCAAGACTCTTCTAATTTGAGTCAGAGTGCCCATCGACTGCACCCCGTTGACATCAAGAAGATGATCAATGAAGGTAACGGGGACAGTAAAGCTCCCTTTCCGGCGCTGTTTGTCTATCATCCGGCAGATACACAGGGCCAAGATGGCTCGCACATGTTCCGTGAAACAGGCCAAGCTCTGTCACTCAACGTGGAACACCCACTGGCTTTGAACGTATACGAGGTTGACAATACCGTTCATTTGACAGGAGATAGCCGGCGTATCTCCCAAGCTCAATTGGACCTCATGCTTCGTCAGATCCTGGACCAGGCGCGGGCCATGATGCAACATCCCCAACTACCTCTCCATCGACTACCAAACACCATGGGACGCGATTTTATCTCAATAGCCGGAGAACCTGCCACGTTTGCAGATGTTCGGAATCCCGCGGACAGAGTTGCCACTCACGCAGCTGAGCACCCTGTTTGGATTGCTACTGAGGAAGTCTTCTTCGAGGAAGATGAAGAAGGCGAGGACCGGCTCGTGACTAAGGCTCTCACGTATGCACAGCTCGACGAACTCGTAAACGCGATCATGTCAAGATTACGCTCGCATGAAGCCAAGCTCCAGCCCGACGACGTTGTCGCACTATACCTGGACAGAGACACCAAGTCACTAGCTGCGATCTTGGCTATCTTCAGGGCTGAATTCGTCTATCTGCCTGTTGACGATAGTCTGCCAGCTACGAGAAAGCAGTTGCTTGTCCGGGACGCAGGCGCAAAGCTCGTTATCAGCACTGAGAAACTGATTGGCGAGCTGAACCTTGATCAAGCCAACGATCCACCTTCACTCTTACTTCCTGCTGGTGACAACGAGCTGGAGGCAATTCGAGCTTGGTCAGAATTGGATGCACCAAGCCATGTCGGGCTAGGCACGGGTGGCTACCTTCTCTACACGTCTGGATCGACCGGTCGCCCAAAGGGAGTCCGCGTATCCAACCATAACCTACTTCACTTCATCTCAGCGTTCAGCGCGCGCCTTATTGAGGCATCCCCTGACACCGCTACCCTTGGAGGGACTGGCAAGTATCTCAACGTCGCCTCTCGCGCCTTTGACCCTCACCTCACGTCCATGTTTGTGCCCTGGCACCTTGGCTTCCGCGCTGTCATTGGCAAGGACCGCAACGCAATCTTCGCCAACCTGAAGCAGATCATCAACGAGTTGGTCATCACTCACATGGGATCTGTGCCGTCTGTACTGATCCAGCTTGGCATTCGCCTGGAGGATGTACCCTCCATCCGCGTCCTGACGACGGGCGGCGAGAAGGCGTCGAATGAGCTCTTCGACATCGTCACTAGTGGAAACCCGCCAGGAAAACTCATGAACTTTTATGGGCCGACGGAAGTCACTATTGGCTGTTTGGGCCATGCAGTCAGCGAGACTTCCAACGCTCGCAACCTTGGGCTACCATTGCAAGGCCTGCAAGCCATCCTCCTGGTGCCTGACACAGGGGACGAGCAAGTCATCGCGCGCAGGGGCCAGCCTGGCGAGCTCTGTATCGCTGGTCCTCAAGTCTCCCTGGGGTATCTGGATAGGCCGGAAGAGAACTCCAAAGCCTTCCAGACCACTGTGCTGCTTGGCCCCGATCATAAAGTGATCTACAGAACCGGTGACATTATGAGGATGATGGAGGATGGTTCAGTGGAGTTCCTCGGCCGAAAAGACCAGCAAACAAAGATCCGCGGCCAGAGATTCGAGATTGGGGAAGTCGAGGCCTTTATCAAGAAAGTGGTCGCTGACGAAGGACCTTTGGACGTTGCCGCCACCGTCGTCGACCAGAAGTTGTTGGGCTTCCTGGCACGCAGTAACAAGGCCCTCCTCAAGTCAGAAATCGAGGCTGACCCTGTGCCGTTACTGCACCAAAGCCAATCTCTGCAATCCATTCTCCGAAACGTCGAGGAGAAATGCGAGCAAGGTCTGCCGGCTTTCATGGTGCCTGAGATGATGTGGGTGTCGAGGATTCCGTATCTGCCAGCGTCTGGCAAAGTCGACACCAAGTCTCTTATCAAGCTTGCCAATGACTTTACCGTTCTAACAAAGGAGGAAAGAAACCCCACGGCTACCAAAATCTCGACGCCATCTTTGGATGGCCGTGAGATAGAAGTAGTGGCGGCACTGGAGGAGGTCATTGGCAAGAAGCTGACAGCGACATCGACAAGCACCATTCACAGTCTGGGCATCGATAGTCTTTCCGCCATGCATCTGCTCTCAGTGCTGGGGAAGAAAGGGCTGGCGACGATTACCATGGCAGATTTACTCACACCTTCGTGCACAGTCGGTTACATTGCCAGGTCAATCGAGTCTAGTACGACGACACACACGCCGCCCACGCGTGTCGAGGAGATCCCCAGGGAAGTCATCAGCCTCGAGGACCTGGGTCCCTGCGCTCGCCACCTGGGAAGCAATGACATTGAAGCCATCTTGCCTTCCTTACCTCTTCAATCGTCCCTTGCTTCTCTATCCCTCTTGTGGCTCAGCTCAGCCGAAGACACGTCAGATGCGGCTGTCCCCTACGTTACCCAGTTCAATTACCGTCTCGCCGCTGGTACGGACCTTGCCAGGTGGAGGAGGGTAGCTGAGGCCGTCATCTCCGCCGAAGCCATGCTCAGAACTTGTTTTGTTCAAAGGGACACGGATGGTCGCGTATTTCAAGTCGTCCTCAAATCTCCGCCTTCGCCATTTGATGGAAAACAGGATGCCATCGACCTTACAGCTCACATGACTTCACGACCACCTCTCAGGGTCCAGATTCAGGAGTGCAAAGACTCCAAAGATAGTTTGGTCACACTGAAGATCCATCATGCACTGTTCGATGGCGCAGCCATCAATGTCCTCAGGGGCAAGCTTGAGCGGGCCTACATTCATGGAGCCCAAGTTGTTGTTGACAACGATGCGAGCTTGAGCAAATTGAAGCGTCTCTCGTCCCACTGCAACCTTACACACGCACAGCTGGAGTCGACCAAGCGCGCATGGCAGCAAAATGTGCGGGACATCAGGCCATGTCTTCTACGCGCACACAAAGGCAATTCCGTACCAAATCCAATGGCGCGCATCAGCAGGCGCTTTGCCTACACACAGACAGAGCTCAGGTCGAAACTGCACCTCGCCTCTTCAGGCGAATCCATCTCTGCTTCAACTGCCTTCCAACTCGCCACGACACTTTGTCTTGCGCATTTGACCAAGTCAACATCTCTCGCCTACGGATTCGCCATGTCGCTTCGACCGTTGCTCAGTCATGTGGTTGAAGGCGTGCATGAGTTCGTCGGGCCCTGCCTCAACACGCTGGTTCACGCTTTGAAGCTTGAGAGTGGAGGTGAAACACTGCCAAAGTTGGCTGCGAGAATACGCCAGAATCACGGAGATACATGCCAGGGCTGCATGCCGCTCGTCACCGCAGACAAGATCCAGCGCTGGGCAGGTCTTGACGAGAAGTTGTTTGACAGCCTGCTAACAATCAACGTGATGGGAGACGACGACTCGATGCAGGGCGAGGTCGCACCAGGTCGGGTGGTCCCTCTGCCCGGTGCGTCCAAGTCCGATATGTCATTGTCGATCGATGTCGATCTCCATCCAGACGGCAGCATAGGTCTACTGCTGTCGTCCGCCGGCGTGTTGACCGAGTCGCAGCTCGGAGAACTTGCGGCATTGTTCGAGAAGGTTGTCATTTCGTCCGCTGACCAAGACGCTACTGTACAGCAATTTGCGGATGTAAATTACAGAAAGGAAGCTCCTGCCGCGATTAATCATGAGCCTCGTGAGCTCCATCTGCCCAAGGAGGCTCACAACGGGAGGCAGGAGTTTGAAGCTTGCTTGGCGATTGTTCAGACATCCGCCTGCCGTCTGTTGGACTTGGATGAGGCAGAGATCAAGGCCAAAGACCCGGCGATAACGTCTTTGTATCAGTTGGGGCTTGACTCGATCAATGTCTTGCCTTTTGTCAGGATCATACACAAAGCCGAGGGTATCAAGCTTCCGCCGAATTCTGTCATCAAGGCCAAGACGATCCAAGGCGTCGCAGCACTCCTCCACGATGTGAAGGGCGAGGGTCTCACGTCTGAGCGCGCACAGACAGCCAGCAAGAAGGTTTTGCAACGTCCAGAGGCCTCGAGTGACGAAGACACCTACACCCGGACTCTTGAACAGCTCGCTGGCGAACTGCTGTTTGTTGCGACGCCACTTCAAGAAGGCATGCTAAGTGCGTCCATGGCCATTGACGGTCAGGCCTATACGTACACGCACACCATGCAACTGTCACAAAGAGCATTGGATCAAGACGCCCCCAACTTTGATCATCTTTTTGCCGCTATCAAGGACACTGTACAAGCTTGCGAAATCCTGCGAACACGGTTCATCTTCACGCACAACGATACTGCACCATGGGTGGGCTTCGTTTCGCCTACTGAACAGAGCGACTTGGTCAACTGGAAGGTGAGCCAAAACGGCGTCTTGCAGCTGCGGATTCACCACGCTTTGTACGATGCCACTTCAATCTCCACCGTGTGGCGCCTTGTCAATGGAAACTACACCAAGCGACTGTTCGGCAATGACGATGGGGACGTGGAGGTCGTCAAGCACGATTTCCGTCACTTGGCCAAGCAGTCGGCAGTGTCACAAAAGGCCTCGGTTGCATTTTGGACAGACTTGGTGCGCAACTATACGTATGCGCCTGTCGAGTTTCCCCTGCTGGCACTCCAAGCCTCCTCCGCCTTTCATTTCACGCTGAGTGTCAATGACCTGTCGCTTTTGCAGGCAAAATGCAGAGCTGCTCACGTCACTCTCAAGTCTGCACTGCAGCTCGCTTGGGTCAAGGTCCTTTGCGAGTCTCTCTACCAGCAGCCGGACGTCGTCTTTGGTGAAGTCATCTCGGCTGGAAGCGGCGGCAACACTATTCCTGTCGTCGGGCCCACAATCAACACAGTTCCAATGCGTGTCACGCTGGCCACTCGGTCGGGCGCGAGTACAGTTGCTGAGGCCTTGTCGCAGTTGCAAACTCTGTCCGATGATGCCAGGGGTACGATAGGCATGGCCTCTTTGAGGGCGGTGCAGGCAGCTTGGAGATCGGCACAAGATGACGAGAACATGGCTGCGACAAGCCTCTTCCAGAGTCTTTTCGTCTTTGACGGCGTTCTGGAAAGTGAGCCGAGAAACGAAACCCAAGCCTTGATTCTCCCCACAGATGGGCAAAATGTCGGAAAGAAGCACACCAAATCAGAAGAAGGGCCCGCGTTCGATGACTACCCCCTGATTGCCAGCTTTCGCGTCAAGGGAGGCGTCTTGCACGGCAAACTCAGGGCCAAGCTTCCGCACTCGGATGCTATGGACTTGGGCGTCCAGTTAGAGAGGGCCTTGCAAGGCATTCTGTCGGAAGATCTTCATAGCCCAGCAGTGCGTCCGGACTGCGCCAGTAAGGACCAAACAGCGAGGAGCAAACAACAGCACCAAGGCGCAAAAACAAACGGCCATACCTCCACCAACGAGCTCGATGGCTTGACAGGCAGGGCCGATGCTATCTTGAGTCTAGTGAGGACGGTTGTGGGCGACAAAGCCAACCAAAGGTCAATCAGCTACAACACGAAGTTGGTCAACGCAGGGATTGATTCGATCACCGCTATTCGCTTTTCTCAGATCCTCAAAAAGCAATTTGGTATTCGAGCGAGCGTCTTTGAGATCATACAAGGCACCAGTGTCCACGATCTGGTCAAAAAGTCGGCCCCAACCAAGACAAACGTTCAGCAGCATCATGATGAAGCGTCGGCAGTGGATCGTTCCCTCATTGACCTTGCTGCTTCCAAGCTTGGTTGTTCTCAGAATCGAATTGCATCCATCTCGCCTGTTCTTTCTGGCCAACGTGGTACACTCAGTCAGTGGCTGCGGGACGGCAAGAGGTTTTTCGAGGCACCTTGGTCCTACCTGGTCACGGACATGACACTTGATGCAAAAAGAGTGGCTAGCTGCTGGTCTGAGCTGATCCAAACGCACGACATACTGAGAACTACCTTTGTCTGTGCACATGATGGCCAGAGTTTACTTCAGGTCACTCTCGACAGTAGTGCCAGTATGGGAGAGCAATTTTCGCATGTTTGCGACTCCAATTTGCGTATCCAGGCTCTCATTGAGGCGCATGTCCGTGATGGTAACGGTCGACCTTCCGACTTGATGAGCCCGCCAGCTCGCCTGTCCTTCTTGGAGGCTTCAGATGGGAAGGCAATCGTCCTTCGAGTTCACCATGCGCTGTACGATGGCTGGAGCATCAAGATCATCCAAAGTGACCTCGCGAAACTTTTGGGTTCCGAGTCACTGCCTGCTCGGACATCAGTTGCATCAGCCGTCCGACAAATTCAAAACATCCAACAGCCAGAGGCTCAAGGGATGTATTGGCGGCAACACCTCGCGAATGCGCAAGACACTACGGTGCCAGCAGCCACGTCTGGCGACTCACCCTTTAGCCAACACCGTGAGTTGACATTGAGCGATATCCTCCCGCCCAAGATCGCCAGCAGCTTAGCTGGTGCGACGAGTCGCATGGCGCAAACTTCAGCTGCCATTATCATTTCCTACGCCCGCGCCTTGGGCCAATTGACAGATCGCTCCCATCCGACATTTGGAATAAACCATGCGTCACGGTCCCTGTCTTCTGTCGATGGGGAGCAGACGCTTGACCTGACCGACATGAGCATCCCCACGATGACAGTGACACCAATGACGCTGGATCTAGAGTCGAGATCCAACAAGATGCTTTTCGACCAAGTGCAGACCCATCTTGCTCAGTTATCCCGGTTTTCGCAGATAGATGATCTGCACAAGATATCGCCCAGGTTCAACACCTTCATCAATATCCTCTATCCTGAAGAGAACCCCGAGGGGGGCGAGCAGCCGCCCGTATCTCCCCTACAGCGGTACAAGCTTGGCGAACCTCTGACCTCTGAGTACTTCACGAAAAGCAAGCCATCATCAATTCGCTCAACTATCGATGAGCTGGACACATCGCACCTCCCCGACTCGGAGCTGTACTTTAACGTGCTGGTGCAACCATCGGGCAATATCAGCATCAAAGTGAGCGGCAACGAGGAGCTCCATGGCGAACCGATGACCAGTCTTACGGAATGTTTCTGTGCGCAGCTGAGCAAAATGCTTTTGGGGTAAGTCATGGCTTGTTTGCGGATGGTTGTGTCAAAGCATGGACGCAGCAGTCTTTTGATTCCATGAGTTTGGACGCGGTTAAACTTAACCAAGTTAATAAATATTCTTTATGCAACAACATCTACCGCGTCTGCACACAGTAGCGGTAGGAGGGATCTTATGTTGGAACTAGGTCCTAACCTGCTCGTACCATTAATCATTTCTTAACCCTTGGTTATAACGAGATTAGAGCCCGGTAGGTACAGGGTAATCTTTACCCAAAACCGCCCTCGAGGTCGGATCTGATAACTCATTGAATACTTTTATAAGATATCCGAGAAAATCTCCGTAGTCCGAACAATATTGTCTCGCGATCATAATCACATTTCACGAAACTACGCCCGTAGGGGATGGCGCATCGCGAAGGTAACCATGCTCTGTTCAGCCCCCAATTACATCACGCCTGCCCGCGCGGCAGGTTTGACTGCCGCAGCTAATTAATGCTCCGTCAACCTTAAATAAAGTATGGGAAACTCGCGCCGATCAGTTCTGATTTCCTTGCCACGCCCCCTGCACTGACACATTTCGATTTCCATCAGGTCGAGGCTATAACAGCTATCGCGGGACCAAGAACATGAGCGTCTCCGCCACCCTCATCTGGATATCCTGCGCTCCTGCGAATACTCTTAGTGTGATTTGACGCAATCTACGTGCAGGAATTGCTTGAGACGAGGATTCCAATACGTTGACAATGGCGCTGAAGATGGAAGTTTGTGGCCTCGTGGATCGGATATTCTGGTCGTCAAGCTGCTTGGTCCACGGCAGGAACCTAGGAACAAGCTGACAAGAACATCAAGCGCTTCATCCCGATGCTCGAAAGAAAGATCTCGCATTAGATACCAGACCACTCGCCATGGTGAGAGGAACTTTTAGGTGCCTCTGTCCCAGTATAACAGACCAAGATATAGCATCGACTTTGATCGGCTTGAGTCAGTGGGGATAATTGCTGCTCTTGATGAAAGACATTAGTTCGACCAGCCAGATATTGGAGATGGCACCTAAGTCTATCGTCGAGCTCTGCCGAAGCTGGCACAAAGTAAGGCTGCGAGAACCTGGCAAACCACTGGCACGGCCAAAGATTTGGGACGCAATGGTCCACTCAGAGTCACAACTGCCCAAGTGGTACTGGAAACTGCTCAGTCAGTGGACCTTGACGAGACCCGACGACAAAATAAGGACGGTTGTCTTTCGAGATCCAGGTCCAGGCCAACGTGTCGTTCTCCTTCCGCGACCCATTCAATGGCCAGCCACAGCTTGAGCGGTCGTACAGAACCGGCCTGCAGAGACAACCCGATCTGCGGACCTTGGTTGACCAGGTCACCCTCGCCGCTAGGATGCCCGTGAAGAGCGTGCAGGAGAGAGTTGATCCAGCTACGAGGCGGCTGGTGTATCGGCTTTGGTTACAATATGCCCCTGGCCTCGGTCGCGAATTTTGCACTGAGCAGATGTATGCCCTCTTTCGCGAGCTCTTCGACCAACGGATGCATCAGATAGTCGACGGCATACTAAGCATGGCGGGAATTGGTGCAATAGGATGCTTACCGCAAGAGAGAGATCGAGCTCGTTCTAAGAGACTTTGCACGCGACTTCGTCATGACTGGCTACGTAATTGAGGCTGCGAGCCAAGATCAAAGTCAGCTGGAGTGGGCTGCTGGGCCGTTGAAGTTTTGAGCGCACCGCAGCCTGGTGAGGTCTGGCTGCCAATGCCTCGCAGTCTACGTAGTAGATGGCCCGATGGAAGTGAACCAGGGTGAAGCCGTGTGCATGTTTTCGTCATACTTCTCCTGGTCGCACCAGAATGTCTGATGGCAGGCAGTAAGTATGAAGCTGGCATTGGTGCAGACGCGATCGTGAAATGACGTCTCGGAGCCCAACCATCGCTGCGATCGCAAATTGGATCGAGGACATATCGAGATGGCGTGGGCTGAACCCTAAATATGTCGCTCACGGGCAGAATGTCAGCGTTGGCCAGATGGCAACGTCATTTTGGTTTGGTCGTGGTAGAGTGATGCCATGAGGGCAAGCCGACGATGGCGACGATGATAATTGCATCCCCCCTTACTTCGCATCGACTTCTCATCAGGATGAATTACCAGTAAACTGCGGTCGCGACTCGATGATGGCGGACATTGCTCTGGACTGCACTGCCGATGACATCGTCGCGTGCATCCCACACCCCTCGGGCGGTGCGTCATTGCGCATATGCCAAAGCCGAGAATTCGATCCCTTGGAGGGGAAATTGGGCAAGCGAAAACTCAGAAATCAGTAGAAGCCATCCCCACCCACCTAATTTGAGATGGTGATACTGGTACTAGCCTGCGCTCGACATGCGCCTGGGCCCGACCAAGCACCTACCTACGTGTCCGACTCCCACCGTCCCACGAGCTGCCAGCCACCACGACCGGAGTCCACAGGCGTTAGGTTAGGTGCGCGTTCGCGACCGTCCTTGGATGACGTAGTCCTGACGCCAGACGAACGGCAGGGTTTCCCAGGGGTCCTCAGCCCTCCATGTCGACTAGACTAGTGACTGGAGTATTCTCGACTAGCATTTGCTCACTCACGCACTCACCTCATGTCGTCTGTCTGGGCAGGCACGGATGGATCATGGCCCAGACTAGGCTCGGAGGCAGGTGGAGCGTTCGTCGGCTTTGATGTTATATAGATCCGTCGACGGGCAACTTCACCCATCTTCTCGTGATGCAATCCAATCGCAATCAATCCGATGCTGTCACATGACCCAGACTCTCTACACTTCACGTGGTATGAGACACGATGACACTCGGCAGGACATTACTACCACAAACTATCGTGGATCGCATAGTCGATCACCTGCGTGCGGACAATGAGTACGCCAGCCTCGCTCCGTACGCGACTGTCTCCAAGCAATGGCAGATCGCGGTGGAGAGGCACACCTTTCGCCAGCTGTACATATCATCCGCGAGGCTCGAGGAGCTCAACACCATTGTATGCCGACGGAGACAATGTACTCTTCAGGTCATCACGCTTCACATCGCCCTAGCGTCGTACCATAGGAACCAGCGCGGTGATGCCGAGTCTCGCGAAGACGGCTCGGCAACGACACGCATCTTCACAAGCTTCATGCAGGACTTCTTTGGCACTCTGTCAAAGTGGGAGGTCGAGCACGGCCCCCCGGAAGGGATACACGTGGAGATCCTCATCGAGTCACCAAGCGATGAATCCTCCTCGTCATCGCGACGCGTCTCGCCTGCAACGACCCGACGCGCGAGGGCCAGTCCAGTCCGCATCGACCTGCACCGCGACGCTCTCCCTGCGGCATTGGTCGCTTCGGCCTTGACATGCACCGGTCGCCATATCGAACTGACGAGCGTCCTCCTGCTCCTCGAGAAGATGCCAAACCTCAGGCTGCTCGATACCGAGCTTGAGCACGACACCAACGGCAGCAAAGACTTGGAGCAAAGACGAGGTACGACCCACAGGCATCGAGCACTCTCCTTTGCTGATCGCTACAGAATTTGTGCTCGGACTCGAGCTCTACGCGCCAAAGGTCACGGACCTTCGCCTTCGACGACCGCAGAACGCCTCCGAGCCACGAAACAGGCCGCCCCGCGAGGCGCGCGCCCTTTTCTACAATGTTCTAGCCAGCTACACTCGCCGGTGCACCGACCTGACCTTTGACGACTCGGTCGACGCCAGGGAGTTCTTTGCTCCCTATGCCGACGAATCGGACCAGGCGAATAGACACCGTCATCCTGGTACCTGGAGGAGGTTGGAAAGACTGCATATTCGCAATTCGTACATGCTGCGACGGCCGTACATGCGCGTTGCGACTCGTGCCACAGCGTTGCAGCACGTGCACGAAGTCTTGACACTGGTGGGACGCGCGTTGCGTGCCATGCCCGTCGTCGAGAACGTGCGAATAAGGCAATACATCTTGACAGAAGAAGGACTGCAAACGATATCTGTCCAGTATTATTTCGACGGCCGAGTCCCCACGATCAGATTCTCCGGCATCAAGCCCGTCAGAGCCACGCTGGAAGCATGGAGGGCAAGTGTCAGGGAAAGACGGGGAGCGCATCTACGCGTCGATGTTGATGCGCCGGGTGTCCAGGATTGAGGGACATGCCCTTGCACGAAAGCGACTGGATTGTGTGATGATAACGATGCACGATAGATACGAGTAACTTTGTAATGTACACGACATAGAGACGCTAGATATATACACACGCAAAATACGATAATGTACTGTTTCAACGACCTTGTGGTCCAGTGGTTAGCTTACGGCCACTAAACACAAGAGACTCGCAAAACCACGCCAGCGTCGTTGAAGGGCCAAGACCGATGATCCGGTGAATGACTCGCATTGCGTGTTGCATGTATTGTACGCGCCTCACGCAGCTTGGCAGCAAGATTTAGGGTAACCCAGAATCGGCTGATTCACCGCCTAATCCTGTACCGACGTCGCCCGAGTCAGACCGACGTGCTCACTGCTCGGAACTCGGAGGGCATATAGCATATCTCGTAGTACGGATACTAAACTTGCTAATATAAATTCATTCATAATATAATAATGCCCGACTTCCGAAATATCGACATTCCTTTCGGAAATGCCGGCTTCGCGCTGTGCTTGGCACCCGGAAGTGCTTGATAGTTGGTAGGCGTCCCCTGGCGAACACTCGCTACCGCGAACCAAAATCCCCTAATGGCTTCAAAGCACCCGGAACAAATCAACGATATGCGCGTGGCATCGAGCCTCCATCATCTATAGCCTGTCACGGCCATGCATTTGTCATCACGTGTACGTGTAGGTGCTTCTGTGTCCAGGTGCCAGGGTTCAGACAGAATAACACCGCAGTCAGCAGATCCAAGTCGCAATCACCAAGTGACCAGCTCCAATATTCGTTACATTGTACTCAACATCGTACTCCGTACTGTAAATCTCAAATGCAGCCGGAGAAGATAGCAGGGAGGGACAAATCAATCAATCCCTATGCCGTCGGAATCTGTGTTTCAAAGCAACAGGAGGCCACGCGGGCCACGCAAGCGCGTATTTGGGTTGGTATTTATTTCCTTATCAATGCGAAAGCATGCACACAACGTTGGAGCTCGTAGGATCAACTCGACCTGCAGTAAATTGACTGTAAGCGCTAGCACCGAAGAAGGACAAGGAACTCCGTGGCACTGACATGGGGGCAGCTGTCAATTTTATTGTTAGTGTGCTCCTCCGTGCATATATTGGTATACAAGTAACAAATGTCGCCACCATGCCTCGAGTGGCAGAAGAGAATATCCCTCCTGTCCAGATAATGCCCCTCTCATTTTGAAGCAAAAGCCCACGCATCATGGCGAGCTTTCTCCTTCTCCTGGAATTGGGCGTCACCTACTTTGTTTGCCGAGCAATCTATCGCCTCTACTTCCACCCTCTCGCCAAGGTGCCTGGCCCCAAGCTGGCTGCGCTGACCACATGGTACTGCGCTTACTACGACATCATCGAGGGCGGACAGTATGTGTGGAAGATCAAGGAACTCCACGACCAGTATGGGCCGGTGGTGCGAACCATGCCCGACGTGGTCCACGTCAACGACCCGGCGTTCATTGACAAGCTGTACACCCAATCGCCCCAGCAGGTGCGAGAGCGTCCGTGGACCGTTTTGAATATGTTCACGACGCACCTCTCCATGCTGCCGACTAGGGACCATTATCTTCACCGCCGACGACGAGCTCTCATCAGCAAGTTCTTTTCCCAAGCCAATGTTCGGAAACTCGTCCCCGTAGTCAACGACACCTTGGAGGACCTGCATCGCCGGTTTGAGGGCTGGGCCAAGGAGGGCAAGCCCGTTGTGATGAGGGTGCCCTGGCAGGCGGCCACAAAAGATGTCATCGCCGCGTATGCTTTTGGCGGCGGCGTCAAGTGCCTCCAAATGGAAGACTGCAACCAGCCATTTTTCCAACTGCTGAATCAAGAACGCGCCAGCAAGGTCCCCGTCCACTTCTATTGGGTCATGCAAGCTATGATCAAGATACCCCCTTCCATCATGAACAAGCTGAACCCTGCTATACCGCACTTTGAACGGTTTCTCGGGGTCAGTGCGCTCTGTCATCCGTCCGCCACGAACAATCGCTGACCAGTCTACCAGGATTTGGGGAAGATCATTGAGAGCATTCGAAATGACAAGGAAACACCCGAGCGCAGCACTATCTTCCACGACATCCTACGCAGCGATGTTGCCGAGTCAGAGAAGGCGACGCCGCGCATGGTGGATGAGGCAATGGTGCTTGCCATCGCTGGCTCGGACACCACAGCGTTGACCATGGTAGCCATCTGCTACGAGATCCTCACACAACCCAAGATCTTCAAACGTCTTCGTGCGGAGCTGGACTCGGTGATGCCAGATGCCACGCAACCTCCTGACCCCGTCAAGCTCGACAATTCGCCTTATCTGAACGCCCTCATCGAGGAAGCGCTGCGTTTCTATCCCTCCGCATCCCACAGGCAAGACCGCGTGGCGCCAAACGAGGACCTCGTCTACGAGTACACCGACGGCAGGACACTCACACTCCCAAAGGGCTCCATCATTGGCATGACAGCGCCCCTCGTGAACCGCCACCCGTCGCTCTGCGATGACCCCGACACATTCGACCCTGACCGCTATATCCAGGACCCCAAGCTAATGCACCGACACTTGACGTTCAACAAGGGCGCAAGGCAGTGTCTCGGTATGAACCTGGCGTATCAGGAGCTGCAGACCTTTACGGCCGGAGTCTGGAGGAAGTACGCGCCCTACGATCCCAGCAAGAAGGTGCAGGGTGGTCCGACTATGGAGCTCTATGAGACGACAAAAGAGGATGTCGCTATGTGGTCGGACTTTGTCACGCCCAGTCCCAAGCCTGGGAGCCCGGGCGTGCGGGTCATCGTTCGGTTGGAGTGAGGGCAGCTTGGACATGTTGGAACTCGTCTGGCGTCTTGGACTTGACTGCGTCTTGGACTTAGCTTTGAGATCTCGTCTGATGGGCACGTTGAAACTCCTCTCTTCTTACACATACATCCCTCTAGGAACAAATGGAGTTCCTTGTCGTGCCACGTGCATATCATGATCGATTGGGGTGAGGTTTGGCATGTCTCTATCACCTTTTTTTAGCATGCCAGAGTGATTCAGCCATGATTGAGCCATTGTCGTGGGCTCAAAACCAACGGATTAACCAAGTCTTTCACCATACACAAAGTACACAAAGTTTGCATTCAAGTGCCAATATCATGTAACCATCATTGCTCTCAATTCAAACAACATACAGCTAAACCGCATAGAGATCATACATCAACGCCTTTGCTGCAAAACAATGTCTTCATAGCTTCTCCCTCCCTGTTCGTCGCAGACGAACCATCTCAGAAGCACTTCATCAGACCGCCGTAAGGGTGGAGCGACTGACCCTCGGGGCACGGGTTGTCGAGACGAGTGACAAGGTCGTTGCTGTCGAGGTCGCGCTTGGCTTCGCAGCGCATGATACCGCCCATCTCTCCGTATTGAACGCACGCCTGTCCTTCGGGGCAGCCTCCTCCGCAGCCCACGGCGAGCTCACGCTTGGCTTCGCAGCGCATAATGCCACCCATCTCTCCGTATTGGACACAGGCTTGGCCCTCGGGGCAGCCTCCTCCACAACCCACGGCACGGGGACGAACGACGGCGGCAGAGGAGAATGAGGCCAGGCCGGCGAGTAGGAAGCTCTTGAAGAGCATTTTGAATCGTGGTTTTTTAAAAGTGTAGAGTTTGTGTTTGTGTGTGGCTGATGTGAGGTGAACTTGTTGTTGTGAATCTGTGAGTGGATTTTGTTGATGGCTGAGAAAGTTCTGGCTAGCCTTGAACACTTCTCGTTTATATATTCTGTGAGCTTCAGAGTGTTCCGACGTCACTGGCCTGTCCTTTTCCTCGTCGACGTAAGATCTCGAGGCTCTGCCTATGGCCACATGGTAGGATCTGCGCATCGCTGCCGATCATTGTTATGACGAGTGCCGAGTTACAGGGACGTCCAGCCAACTGTGCGTGGCACCCTATGTTTCGGAACTGATTTAGGGGTCTTGAGCATCGCAGGGTCCGAAGGATCACCGCGACAGGACGCACCGGCACGTTGGACAACCCGGTAGTGGAGACCCTCCGCGCCACCACGGGATACCCAGATCCTCCGTAGTGAGGAGATGTGCAATCAAATGCCCTTGGTACCTGAGTCGAAGACTGATCGTGCATCATTAGAGACGGCTATCGGAACCCTGAGACGATGATCAGCGCACTAGCTGTTTCAAGCCCGCACAATACATACGTCAAAGGATCATAAAGTCCGGATCTCGCCATGATGGATGAGTTGATCCTCGCGCGTTTGGTCAAGTCTGTTTCCGCTCCATTAACTCAGAACTCGTGGCAAAACGTGGAGAGGCATTGCCACTTACTGCCGTGCGGTTCGCAATTCGGTCCTCAATGGCGACAATCAATGATGTTGTATGCGTCAACAGCCTGTCTCCTCCAAGATCTTGGTGTTGAACCTGGCAGCCATTCTGCTTTATTTATGACCCCAAGATCCCTCTGTCTATGCGACGATAATCGGAGTGTGTTTCCAAAGGACAAAGGCCTCCAGTCGCATGGAACCAGGTTAGATTTCGCCGACCTAGACCGGGGCATCTCGTGGGGCAACGAAGCGGTGTGCTTTGCACATACAGAGACCAGACATATTCTCGAATCTTGCTACGAGCGGTGTGCTCTCGGTAGATCAAAGCGAGCTGGTTCCCCAAAGATTGCGAGTCTCGACTATTCCACTCATTTGCAATACGATCAAGACGCTTCCCAAACAAACCCGGAGCCAGGCCTCCGCGAGTCCCCAGGCCCAATGTGGCATAACATTGATCCCGCGCGGCTTTGCAATTGAGTGCCGGCCTCGACTTCGGGATTGCAAGGCACGCTCTAGAGGTCGTTAACTTCGTTCCACCAATTGATCTTCTCACAACATGCCGCGAATCGGCAGAGCCTGGGCTCGTCTGCGACTCTGCTCACTCACAGCAAGGTCAAGGGTGAGCTTGGCCACGGAAAATTAACCCATGAAGCCCGCGAGTTTCGCGTGGTGGCATGGACATGCTTATGCCCTAGATTCCTCGAATCATATCTCTTGGCATATACGGAGCGCAAACACCAAGTCCAATTGCCGGTCAGATCTGGGGTGCAGCTGAAGAGCAGCTTGCCTCATTGAGAAGGTCCAGCAAGCTGGGGGCTGGGGATGTTGAAGTCGAGAACGCACCGACGAGAATCAGTACAAGCGGTCCATAGGACAGACGGAAGTCTCTGGTGGCTCGACCATGTCGGGCGGGCGATACCGACTCTCAGCAATCCTCGACTATATATTCACGGGCATGTCCCGACTATATAGCGAATTCGACCTTGATAGTGTTATCCTCTGACCTTACGAACTTACAGACGCCGCGAGTCCCTTTTGATCATGAAGCTCTTCACAATCCTGCTGTCGGCCGCCGGCGCCGCTGTTGCGGTGACCACAACGCTGCCAAAGTCCGCTGGTTCGACTGCGGTTCCCACTGCCATTCCCGTGAGCGGCTCCTTCGATGGAGGCATGAAGAAGTACGACCGCAACCGTAGGTGTCGCCAGACCGTGTGTTGAGACAGCCCAGACTTATGCAGAGTAGCTTCTGTCTGCCAAGGCCAAACCGAAACAGGGGAGAAGGACGCCATGTTCATCCTCGAGAATGGCGCGACCCTTTCCAACGTCATCATTGGCAAGGGTCAGGCTGAAGGTGTCCATTGCAAGGGCACTTGGTGAGTTCTCGTCGTCGCCCAATGGCCGAGGCCCCACGCTCACATCGGCAGCACCCTCAACAACGTCTGGTGGGAGGACGTCTGCGAGGACGCCGCCACCTTCAAGCAAAGCTCTGGCACGTCGTACATCAACGGTGGTGGCGCTTTCAAGGCTGAGGACAAGATCTTCCAGTTCAATGGCCGCGGCACCGTCCGCATCAAGGACTTTTACGCCAACGACTACGGCAAGGTGATTCGCAGCTGCGGCAACTGCTCTGGTAACGGTGGTCCACGCAACGTGGTCATTGAGAACTCGGTTGCCGTGAACGGCGGCGTGCTCTGTGGCATCAACACCAACTACGGCGACACGTGCAAGATCAGCAACACATGCCAGGACGATGGCAAGAGCTGCGATCGGTACACGGGCAACTCGAGCGGCAAGGAGCCGACCAAGATTGGCTCTGGTCCTGATGGCACGTACTGCACCGTCTCTGGCCTCACCAAGAACTGTTAGGCATTGGATGCGCTTGACGGTCTCACCACGCTCTCCGGGCGCGTGTGAGAGATCAGTGCCAGAATTGAGTACATATTTTAGGGTGTTGCTCTGTAGCCGGGAGACGTAAAGGGTGGGCGAGGTAGCTAGCCGCAGTTTTTCGTCATCAAGCACATTTCGGAGATCGAGCAGCGTGTCTTTGCGCATTGAACGAGAGGCTGTGAGAACGTTAGTGTGCGCATGCGAACGTGAACGTAATCTGCAGTGCTTTGCCTTGTGTGTGGCTTCACAAGGACATCCGCTGAGGGAGGCTGTTTGCTTCGATCCGGGGAAATAAGGCGCTGCCAATGTCAGCATTGTCCACGCGACTTCACTCTCTCTGTGTACGGAATCGCTCCCAACATCACAAACGCCGACCACCGCGGCGGTGACGAGGAGTCGAGGTCTTGAGGGCCCAGCGCTGTGGGCGCGCCAAAGCGGTCCCACCGATGCTGCAAGGGTCACCCCTACGCTCAGTAGACAGCCGCGCCTCTTCTTTTCTCATTTCCCAACAGCAAGGAGACATTGATTTGATTGTTGCTTCGTGGCAGTAATTAGGTTCGCGGACGTGTATCGCGACCCCATTGGCAGACGGTAGGTAGGCCTAGTAAAAGTCAATTATACGGTGTAATCAAATAGCGTGCTGGTGCCTGAAGCCCAAGCGCGACAGGTAAACAAACACGGCGCGGACCGTCTGTCAGTCAGTTGGATGATTCAGATCCACGTGGTGGGTCAGTAAATGATCGCCAAGACGTGTTCATGTTGAAATTGGGATGTGCAACACACGCAGATATCCTTTATAGGCGTGGAGTGCAGGACCATTAACTTAGGGGGATGAAGAAGGGAGGAAACGCCTCTATCGGTCTGGCGGATCGGACGCCTCTATCGCCTCAGGCCCTCAAATGTCTGAGATCTGGCGAGAAACCTTGAGCCATCAGTCCGTCTGCCGGAAGAAGCGAGCCAATCATGGCGCCGTTCAACTCCCCGCGAAACTCAGCTACAGACACACGATCTGGCAATCCACGGTTGGGTGCACTCGACCTGAATACGTACACGTGCATGTTGGTCAAGTTTCATCTATCCGTAGACAATAAAAATGTAATACAAACAATCTAAAATACTCGATCATTTACAACTCCTTCTGTTTTGGGTATAGGTGTTGTGGTAAACCGAAAGCTTCTAATACATCGAAGTTTTGGAATGGTGTAGGACGGGGCGTCTACGAGCAATTATGGACAAAGATTGTCGGGAAGAGCGCCCAAGTGACGCGGGTGATCATGAATAATGATAGAAAATGGTTCAAACATTCAGAAGTAAACTATCCAGTATATTCTCCACGGATTTAGGGCTAAGATACATTGCTCTCAAGCATGTTATTCGGAATCTTGAGTACAGGGTAGGTTCGTGCTGTCTGATATCGGTCTGCCGCAAACGTCAAGCGATTCGAGATCCTGATGACAACATGACGTCCATTTAGTGTTTGCAAGAACAATCAATCGTGGGCCTTTTTCCATCCTAAACCATTTGAATACTTTTTACCGCCGGCACTGCTCGTGCCACCATAAAGCAATGACTCCACGACGTCTCCAGCTTCAGCAAAAGTCATGGACTCGCAAGGACCGGACCTCACGCGCACATCCATGATCTGGCCGTTGCTTCTGAATGACAAGACACGCCTCGCACCCACGCGAACGGTGGCCCGTGGAATTAACTGGCTGGCGTATGTGACGCATCGCATCTTGCCATTGGGAGCATCGTCTCGCAGCACATCCAGGTGCGCCTCCGATCTGGCCCTGGCCACAAGCCCAAGCGAGTATACACTCATTCGCCATTCCTTGGTATGAATGATCCCTGGAGCTGGTGCAACACCCATGTGTGGGAGACCATGCACTGAGCCTCGAGATTATGCTGCGAGCCGACAGTCTAGATCATTCGTCGAAGCAAAAGATGCGAGATTCGGGCGTTGGCACCACGGTTGTACATGGTGCATGCGTGATCGACGGCAAGAAGGAAACCTGACCGTAGAAAGCTGCTCGCTTGCTCTCTTGGTGCGCGGGAACGACTTTGTCGCACAGCAGCACCGACTTGGCTGATTGCCTCCTGGAAAAGGTAGTGCGGAGTGCACACTCATTGAAGTTGCTTCGACCGCCAATATGTCCTTGCCAATCCCTTTCAAAGCTGGCAAATGTCCTCAGGACCCTTCAAGAGTATTCGCCCGTCTTCGCCGTTCATAACAATACTATCAAAACTAAACCCACCAGGAAGCCCCAGTCGCCAAGATCGCGCCACTCATCATCTTCTCAAGTCGAGAGGCAGAGGCAGAACGAGGCACACTATCGGCGCCACATCAGCGGGGTTCAACAGTCTTTTGCCGCCAAAGGCTGCATTGGCAGCGGCGACAGAGTTATCGGTGAGACACGGACGATGACTTGCTTGCCTAGCTCGTCACTGACAGCTGCAACCAAGGGCCGGAAGACAAGACCGCGAGACACGCTCAGCGCGGACAGGCGAGACGCGCCAATGAGTCTATGACAGGAACTGCCCATGTCCGCCAAGTCAACTTCAGCGCTCAATCCGTCTTCAAAGGTAAGCGTCAATCGATTCCCGGCGCGCACTCCCAGCACGCTCCAATTGCTTGCTTGCCTCACGCCCTCGTTCGCCGCGCCCGAGTAGACATCTTGCCTCCGACGTCGTTGGGTCTGCGTTGCTTTTTATCCCAGCTGAAAGACCTGCAGTGTGGTCCCAGCTAAGCAGGGATTAGCTGCGGACCGCGGAAGACTGGGAGCTAAGAGCTTCGGAGCAAATCAGCGGCACAGTTGGCGTCCACCCCAGTCCCCAGATCTGATCATGGTCGCCGACTGGACAATGTGCCATCTTCACTGGCATCATCAAATGATTTCGCGATAATCGGCACTCAAGAGTCCCCCAGGGCCCAGGGAAAAGGCCATGGAAGGGAAAAGCGATCAATTTCCGCCGGCAGGGCCCTATTCGCTCTGCATTTCGCCGGGTCGGTGACCATGACAGAGCATCAGCCGATCAAGCACTTGTGGAAAGCGCAAAAAGCAAAGAAGCTCCAGTCGCAGGAGAGAGCATAACAGTGACCTTGTAGCGAAGCGCGCGCAGCTGACTGGAATGCAGCGCCACGCCCTGCGGCCGTACCCGCCACGGACTGGAGTTTACCGTTTAGAAGCAACGTCCTAGGCTGGTATTGAGCGCCCAGTCCTCCTGAAATCAGCAACAAGGCCTCCTAGGCGTCAATAAATTGGCAATTGCCCACCACAGCGACAATATATTGCAATTAATTGCGATCGCTGCTCCACGTCAAGGGGGAACAGGAGTGTCCGGCGATTACGCACGCACGCAAGGACCGACGACGAGTGGACGCACTGCTGCAGGCCTGGAGAAGATCGACACCCTTGCATTGCATCGCGCTGCCGCTCCCAGGACGGCTGGCTGGCTGGCAGGCAGGCAGGCCACCACGTCCACCGCTTTTCCGGGGCACCCTCGTGCACGCCCTGTGAAGATCTTGGCCATCATTACCTACAATCGTAGTCCTCTGGCTGTTGTTGGCTGAGGATCTGTCGAGCTGGGAGGAACTCATTCAGAGCGGATTACTGACTTCTACGTTGGGACACAAGGTACGTGGAGTCGCAGGTCAATATTGTTTTGATAGCGCTGCGTTGTTTTATCCCTTGCATGGCACAAAGGCACAAAAACACAAAGAGGCTTTGTCTAACTTAGTCATCCCCACAATGAGGCGAGAGGGTCCATGACTCCACGCCAAAATTACCTATACGTACGTACCTGGATGCTGGAGCAGCGGGTTTGACTTTGACATGTCGGCGATAGGACTCAACTGCGAGGCAGATGGACATGGGTGAATTGACTGATAGCGCCAACGGACGGTGAATCATCCAGAGTTGATCCTGGTTCAACGATCGCACGCACGCACGGCAGAGACGACAGCCGGCCGATGGAGGTTGCAATGTGGCAGGAGGCCAATGCAGCTTTAAAGCACCTCTGGAATGGATTCTACATCACGGAGGTCATATTGACCCGCGCGCCCTGCTCGACCCAGCTCGCGCGCTCTCTATCTCCTCTACAGAGTGGCAGGACACCAAAGCGGTTCCTACACGAAGAAGCCATATCTCTTGTTCATCCGCAATCCGCGCGCAGTCCGCGCCGATGTGGCAGATGCTTCTTGCTGTCATCAGGCTCGGATCTCTTGGTCTGCCTGCGCTAAGGCTGCCCTTGGGCCTTGGCTTGGGATCTCTCAGTCCCCTGTCCCAGACTCCCAGTCCCGGCCCCCCCCCACCCTCACTCAATCGCAGCCGTCTTGCAGGTGGCCAATCAATTTGCTGATCGGATACAGACACACCCATAGAGGCGTCACATTCCTCACTGTCCAGACTTACACCAAGGACTGGAGAGCTCGACCAGTCGACGCGCCGCCCCGTGCCGAGCTGGTCTTCCTCTACGTATTGTGCTAGGAACTCTAGCTTCCATTGAGGGCCAGAATCATCCCTCTGTCACTTCACTTTGTCTATTCCAGATTTTGCAGGCAATCGCAACGAGCATCGTCGTCTTCGTCCCTTGGACAGCCACTGCCCGAACTCAAAGCTTGACCGGACGGCAAATACAGAAGTTGGAGGGCGTTTCTGTCCTTACTTGTACATGGTCACCTGAACGGTACGTTTCGAGACATATCTCCCCTTCTTGTTTCACCTCCTTCGTTCGCCTCCAGGCTGATCAGCCACGCACATTCCGCCACTGCTCTTTGTCATCACATTCAAATCCCTTGTCCTCAGTGTTCATCCAGCCAAGTCGACGCCACAGCGAGAGACGCGGCCCAACCATGTACCGAGACTATCACACTGGTCACGCGGCGTATTACTGCTCGTCATCACCACATGCACCTGGTGGACAGTCTTCTCGACCATCGCTGGGTCAGCCCCCTCCAGTTTCTGAGCTCCTGTCCCCCA